GGAGTGTCTACCCCGAGAACACACCTCGGGTCTTTGCAGGATAGCGGAAGTGAAGACTTAAGCTCTGGAGTACCTCCCAGTTCTTTGCAACTACAATTTCCATTAAAACGTTTCTTTGTTTCAGTGGTCTTTTAAGTCCATCTCTCTCAATTTAAACTAAAGGTGTTGGAAAAAAAAATTTGAAGTTTGATGGAAGATGTCAGTCCATCTCCCAAAGACCCATCTTTTTTTTTTTTTTTTCACTAAATTTTTTTTGTTAGGTAAAAATTATATTGAGAATTTAATTAATTTGAAATTAAATTACATTAAATTTTATAAAGAAAAAAATTTCCTCAACCCTTATTTCTTCATTAAAGAGTTTTAAATTTAAAATATTATTCTTTTTATTTGAACTAATAAATTACTAATTCTATCCTTTACTATTTACTAGAGTTTTGTTGATTATTTATTTTTATATTTTTAAAGATTCAGTGGTTCTTATAGATCTCTGGTATTAATTTTTTACCTTCTACCATATGCATGGTAAAAAATACGGGCTGGATGTTGGTTCGGTTTGGTGAATCTAACTTAAAATTTTTTAATTAACCAATTTTGTTTTTTGTTTTTTGTTTTTTTTTGTTAGTATCTATATAACCAAACTTGAACCAAATATATTGTTCCGGTTAGACGTAATATCCAAATTCCAAAGTCCAACACGGCAACACCAATGTGACGTTTCCTTCCTTCGGCTTCAGTTATTTTGGTTTCAAAAGAAAAATGCGAACCTTTGTTATTTAAAAAAAAAAATTGTAAGAGGGATAGAATGGTAAATCACCAAAAAAAAGTTTTATTATTGTAATAGTAATACTTATTGACACTTTCAACTTATTTTTATTTAAAAAATTAAAATATTTTTATGAGAAAGGAAAAAAAATTAATTACTCCAAAACTTTTATCTTTTTTTAAAAAATAATTGCTTTTATCGATAAAATAAATATAATATTAATAGAGTACACGAGTACTCTATACCCATTACACTAATAAATGATAATTACATTTACAACCAAAGTTCCCAAAAATATGACCGGGGCCTACAAAAACAGATTGTAATCAATCACGGCTTCACAAACATTTGCCTGTTTTTAAGGGGGTAAGGACTAAGGATCCATATCATACTTCTTACCGGCATCTAACCTTCCTCCATGATATCGATTTTTTTAAAAGT